CCACTGTGCACATATACACAACCTACATCTCCAAGGAGGGCAGCTCACAACAAAAGCAGCATCTATTCTCCATGGTGTCTTTCCTCTAAGGTGTTTTTTAATGAGGATAGAAAAATGACAGAAGAATCCATGAGGGATGGTGAGACTTCACAGGATGGGAGGAGGACCATACAAATCCATACACATTGAGCATCTGCTGTGAACCAGGCACCATGCCTTCTCTCATGTTGCAACTTCAGTGGTGACTCTGTAAACATGATTTTGCAATTTGAGAATAACTTCAGTCTTGTCTACAAGTTTACAGAGCTCACATCTGTGACTCTTCCCTTTCAGAAACAAATTTAACACTGTGGACACAGTTAAATTAGACCTGACCAGAACGGGTATGACTGCAAACTGAATCATCTGAGAGCTGGCATGGTTCACTTGGGACTGAAGGAGAGTGGGCAAGGGAGGCTGGGTCTATATATGGCAAGCAATCTGTGATCAAACTCAGTCAGAAGCGCAAGCTTCTTGGCATGGCCTTCAACCTGCTCTGTGATCTGGCTCCTTCTTCATCGCTCTCCACTCCCCTACGTGCTCCCTAAGCTGCCATCATCCCACCCTGCATATAAAACGTGGTCCATACTGCCTGCCTTGCTGTCCCTACTCTGTGTGGAACGTCCTTGACTTACCTCCCAGACCAAACTGTAACGGTCTGCTTACATTTATTCCTCCTCCCACACCAGGAGCTCCTGGAGGGCAAGGAGTGTATTGTGTTCACATCTATATCTGTGACCGCCAGCCCAGTGTTTTCCAATAGAGAGCACAGAATTGAAGCCTGAAGTCAAATGGAATGCCTATTTCAAATGCTAGCTCTGTTCCTTACTAGCTGTGTGGCCTCGGGTAAGTCAACCTTTGTGTACTTCCATTTTCTCATCTGTAGAATGGACACAATAAGGCACTTAGTTTACTGAGTTGTTGGGAGGGTCAAATAATTGCATATATGTAGAGCACTTAAACAGCACCTGGAACAGAGTAAGAGCTATATAAAGATTTATTATCATGGTGTTGGTGGTTGTTGTTAAATATATGTGGAATAAAGAAAAGTGAAAAAGGGGCTGGGGTGGTGGCTCATGACTGTAATTCCAGCACTTTGAGAGGCTGAGGCGGGTAAATCACTTGAGGTCAGGAGTTCAAGACCAGCCTGGCCATCACAGTGAAACCCCATCTCTACTAAAAATACAAAAATCAGCCAGGCATGGTGATGCATGTCTGTAATCTCAGCTACTCAAGAGGCTGAGGCAGGAGAATTGCTTGAACCTGGGAGGCAGAGGTTGCAGTGAGCCAAGATCGCGCCACTGCACTCCAGCCTGCTTGATAGAGCGATACCCTGTCTCAAAAAAAAAGGAAGGAGGGAGATTGTGTGCCCTGCAGCTGAGCAAACTTCTGAATTCACATGCTAGTTCAGTTCTACCCTATTAAAGTAGACAGTGAAACAGAGCTCCTCCTTATGCACACATAAAAGGAGACGCAGCTTTCACTCTGGTTGGTGTTCACGACCTTATTTCTTACCTGGGCTACACCCATCCACTCCCACCGAAGTCAGCCACCTGGGTACTCCCCAACCCTGCAGCCACACAGCATGACATGCAAGAGACACTGTTGCTCGCTCCGTTCCACTGCAGCCCCCAGAAGTAGTTCTTGCTCTTAGAACATCAGTGCTTGGGAGTTCAAGATGATCTTATCCAATATCACCCCCATAACAGACGGGGAAAGACAGGCCTAGAGAGGTCACATGCTTGCACTTCCTTAGTACCAGGGATATACATATATTACTTTTCACACAGTCAACTTTGTAGGAGGTACTAAGAATACTAGTACCTTAAATTTTATTTAAAATTTAAATAAAAATTTAAAGCAGGAAGGAACTTTAAAGTTTAGCTACTCTGGCACTTTTCAACCTCCACACTCCAGGGTGTCATGTCAAGATAAGCTCTGTTGCAACTATTCCATAATTCATTTGATAAATATTTATTGAGTACCTACAATGTACTGTACATTAGGGACATAAGTCAGATACCACCTCTGCCCTCAGGACTTCATACACTAATGAGGAAGGGTGATATTAATAATCACAAGTCTAATAGTAGAGTTTTATTGTTGCAAGTGAATTACGTTATTTTAATTTTCAATTTTTTTTTTTTTTTTTTTTTTAGAGACAGGGTCTTGCTGGAGTACAGTGGCACAATCATAGCTCACTGTATCCCTGATCTCCTGAACTCAAGTGATCCTCCCACCTCAGCCTCCCAAGTAGCTGAAATTATAGGCATGAGCCACCACTCAGCAAATTATATTTTAAAATACACTAGAATAGGCATCTCCACTTATATGCCTGCCACTGTGCTCTCTGAGCGGGAAAAAAAGGCAGGGTTGGAGGTGAAAGAAGCAGTTACACGTAGTACCCTGGAAACTGCCTACTTCCCAGGGTTGACCAGCGCAGGAGTCTCATGTAGATCAACATTACCATTACGTGGCTGCCGAAGTAGAGTCTGGAAACCACTCAACTAGCTCTGCCCACCCCTACTTTACAGATAAGCAAACTGAGGCCTGAAGGGTTTAACTGACTTGCCTTGACAAATGGAAGAACACTAAAATACTGTCAATGGCTCACATCATCTTCCTCCCCCAGACGGGTCCAAATCCCATCGCATGACATGTGATCTGATCCCTGCTCATTTCTGCAGCCCCATCTCTCACCATTCCACCTCCCATGCTATGATCCAGCCATACTGAATTATATACAAAGTGCTGAAAGGCCCTCTGCTTTGCCCATACCACTCCTGCAGCCGGGGATCAAGTCTATGGCCCCTAAATAACTCCAGTTCATTTTCAGCAAGCAGGACTCAGCTCCGGTTTATCTCCTCCAAGAAGTCCTTCCTGGGGTGCCCTTCCTCTACCTCCCGCAGCACTTCTACTTTCACGTAGAAACACTTATCACATAATGTATTCATCCATTCAACAAATATTTATTGAGCAGCCTCTACGTGCCAAGCACCTGCGGGTACAGCAATAAACAAAACAAAGCCCCTGCCCTCACGGAGCTTACATTCTAGTGAGGGAAACAGACAATAAATAAACAATATATAATATAATGCCAGGTGAAGTTTAGTACTATGGAAAAAAAAAAGACCAAGAGCTGGAGACTGGTGGGAAGGTATCATCTCAAGAAGTGACAGGAGTAAGCCATGCAAATCACTGAAAAGGGAGCATTTCAGGATGCAGCAGCAATGGCCCTATAATGACCGCAATTATTCCTTTACTTATGTTTTATTCCCTGTTGAACTATAAAATCCTTGGGGGCAAGGATCACATCTTAAGCATGTTTGATTCCCAGGGCCCAGCATAGAATTTGGCAGCTCCATAGTGGACATTTACAGAATGAGCGAATGAACCTGGGCTGGGATGTATGAGTCCATCTGGTCCCATCTCTCCTAGCAAACAAGATCTGGCCTGCTTCGTGTCACTCTCTCCCACAGGGCTAAGCTAAGTGGAGGCCCCACTTGGGCCAACCTGCCTAGCCTGATTCCATAGCCTGGATTCAGCTGCTGGATTCTCACTTCATTAGGACCACAACACTGACAAGTTGTCCAGTTGTACCTTTTCTAGCCCTTATATCTCTGGCCTGGACCTGGGACCCTGTCTAGAAACCCAGATACTTTAGAACTGAGAGTGTGCCCTTGTTTTCCCCAAGTTTCCCCAGCATGAAAGTTCCCCTCTGAATCCCAAGCCTCAGGGCTGAGGGCCCAGACACCTGGAGTCAGACTTCCCCAGTGGCTAACCTCTATCCACCTGGAAGTCAGTTCTGCCTGATCCTTGACTTGCCTCTGAACCAAATGAGTTCTTTCCTACTGGAACATCAACTCTCTGACCACATCAATCCTTTCTGTGGCCATCTCTCTGTATGTTCCAACTTAATGAAACCATTACCAAGCATCTACCATAGCCAAGGCACAGGGCTAAGTACCTGAGTTCCCTGTTGCCTGTAGCAGATCCCTGTTCCCACTGGCTGTGTCCACACTCAGCTATCCTGACTCAAACTTCTGACACTCCTGAAAGCGCATTCAATACCCTATATGCTGCAAATGCAGTCAAATGGCTTTATCCACTCAGCCAACTGCAACAGACACCTCTAGAGTCACTGGCGCTCCATCCCACCCCCTGCCAGTGTAAAAGGGGCTAAGGGATGATAACTCATGTCATCATTCACCCTTTGATTCACCACTTACTGACACCCGCTGTATGCCAAGCCTGGAATATAAAATACAGTGCCTACACAGATGATGATGACAGTGGTAGTCCCGGTGGTGGTGATGGTGATGAGGTTGAGGAAGAAAGGAGAGGGTGGTAACATAAGTTACCATTTATTGCAGACCTGTGCTATAAAACACTAAGCAGTGAGTCTTCTAATGCTAACAAGATGATGAGATAAGTATAATTGGCCTCACTTTACAGAGAAGGGAATAAGCTGAAGAGGTGAAGCAACTTGCTCAAGGTCACACAGCTAAGTAGCAGAGTGAAGTGAGACCCTAGGCCTGTCTGCCTCCAAAATATAAACTGTTCCACTGCCCCAGAGTCACACAGCAAATGCTAAACAAATAGAACTTTAATGAAGAAGTGAGAGAGCGGGTCCGGGGCCCCAGGGGCTTACAAGCTGCTGGAGGAGACAGACATACAACCAGCAGAGGCGAGTGCTGATGGCTGGGGACAGACAAAAAGCTGCAGGGGAGCCAGAAGAGGGAGTGGCTAACTTGACCTGGAGGGGTCTGGAAAGCTCTGTTGGAGGAAGTGACTTAGGGGGTGGGCCTTAGAGGATGAGCGGTTTGCGGCTGACCAGCAGGCCGAGCGTGGTGCACAGCAGGAGCTCAGCCCTCCCCCGCCGACCTGACCTGGGCCGTGCCGGGACCTCTGAGGTCGTCCTGTCCACCCCACTGGGCCCACGCGGCCGGGCCGGGCCTCACCTCCTTCCACTTGAGCTGGCGGATGCTGATCTTCAGGGCATCCAGGGAGGTCCTGGCCTTGGAGCTGTCCACGGTGACCGGCCGCTGGTAGCCGTTCTCGCCGGAACTGTGGCCCGAGCTCCGCTTGCGGCTTCGGCCCTTGCCCAGGGGCTTCCCGTGCAGGCAGAGGCCCCGCGCCGGCTTCGGCTTGGTCGGAGGCAGTGTGGGCGGCGGCCGCTGAGGGACCCGGGCGTCCCCCTCCTCAACCAAGCTGGGCTGCGCCAGGGCCCGGGCGGGGGCCGCCTTGGGCTGCTCCTCCCCGGCCTTGCGCTCGGGCTCCCCGGCCGCGCCAGAGTCCACGCAGACCTGTTCCTCCGCCGTCTCCGCGGTGGCCTCGGCCTCAGCTTTGGCCGCTGCTTTGGCCGCGGCCACCGCCTCCGCCTCCCACCGGGCCGCCAGCTCACTCTCGGAGCTGCCCCGCCGCATGGCGCTCAGGGCCGGCGCCAGTGCCAGTGCCGCCGCCGCCGCCGCCCCGCCGCCCCGGCCCGCCACCAAACTGCCGCCACTGCCTCCGCTGCCGCCGCTGCCACGCGCTCCCCGCCCGAGCCCGTTGCCATGATCGCTCAGGCTCGGGTTGACAGCCGCAGTCGCCGCCTCGAGACGGAATCCGGGAAGGGACAATTGTCGATCCAGCCCCAGCGACCTCATAGGCGAAGCTGCCCACGTGACCCTGACTGTCACAGAGGCAGCGGCGGCCATGTTGGAAGAGGGCAATGAGCCGCCAGAACCCGCCCACCCCGCGGAGTCGCTGAACTTCTGAACCTCCTGGGCGCAGAACTCAGAGTGGCGAGGAGAGGCGGGAGGGCAGACGGAGCGCGCGTGGGGCCCTGAGCCCGGGGACTGGGGAGCCTCAAGCAGGAGGCTCAGTCCCCGCCAACACACTCGCTGGGATAACTCTCGATAGGACGGAGGAGGCGCCCCCTGATGGGAACGTCAGTGCAGTGGACGTGACCAGCACAGGCCCTACGGGAGCGGAGTGTTCCACTGAAGAAACCCTCTGCTGGTCCTTTGAGCGCCCCCAGATAAGAGGGGAGGCACTTTTCTCAGGGAGCTCCCGATGGGGTGGGGAAGCCCCCTACAGATTCCTCCCACTCGAGTCGAGTTGAGGATATTACCGATTTTTCTTTTTTCTTTTTTCTTTTTCTTTTTCTTTTTTTTTTTTTTGCTGACAGGGTCTCGCTCTGACACCCGGACTGGAGTGCAGTCGCGCGATCTCGGCTCACTGCAGCAGCCTCAACTTGCCGAGGTCAAGCGATCCTCCCACCTCAACCTCCCGAGTAGCTGGGACTACACGAACCCACCACTACGCCCGGCTAATTTTTGTATTTTTCGTAGAAACGTGGCTTCGCCATGTTTCCCAGGCTGTTCTCAAACTCCTGACCTCAGGTGATCCGCCCGCCTTGGCCTCCCAAAGTGCTAGGAATACAGGCGTGAACAACCAAGTCCAGCCTGACTGCTTTTTCTTTTGTTTGTTGTTGTTGTTAAGATGGGATTTCGTTCTTGTCGCCCACGCTGAGGCGCAATGGTGCGATCTCGGCCCACTGCATCTTCCACCTCCTGGGTTCAAGTGATTCTCTGCCTCAGCCTCCGGAGTAGCTGGGATTGCAGGCACCTGCCACCACGCTGGCTAATTTTTGTATTTTCAATAGTGACGGGATTTCACCATGTTGGCCAGGCTGGTCTCAAACTCCTGACCTCAGATGATCTGCCCGCCTCAGCCTCCCAAAATGCTAGGATTAATCAGTCCTAGAGGCGTGAACCACCATATCCAGCCTAATTGCCTTTTTTTCTTTACTTTTTGTTTGTTTGTTGTTGAGACAGAGTTTCATTCTTGTCGCCCAGGCTGGGGTGCAATGGTGCGATCTCAGCTCACTGCAGCTTCCTCCTCCCGGGTTCAAGCGATTCTCCTGCCTCAGGAGATTCTCCTGCCAAGTAGCTGGGGTTGCGTCCGCAACCACACTTGGCTGATTTTTGCATTTTTAGTAGAGATGGGTTTCACCATGTTGGCCAGACTGATCTCAAACTCCTGATCTCAGATGATCCGCCCGCCTCGGCCTCCTAAACTGCTGGGATTACAAGCTCAAGCCACTGCGTCCAGCCTGACTGCTTTTGCTTCTATCACTTTTTTTGTGGTGGTAAAATATACATAACAAAGTTTGCCATTGTAACATTTTTAGCGTAGGTTCAGGTGGCGTTCTGTACATTCATATTGTAGTGCAACCAGCACCACTAGGGGTCTCCGGAACTTTTTCATCTTCCCAAACTGAAACTTTGTGTCTATGAAACAGTAACTCCGATTTCCTTCTCCCCTAGTCCCTGGGAACCACCATTCTACTTTCTGACTATGAATTTGACTATTCCTGGCCCCTCATATAAGTGGAATCATGCAGTATTTGTCTTTTGTGTCTGGCTTATTTCACTTAGCATGAGGTCCTCAAGGTTCTTCCATGTTATAGCATGAGTCAGAACTTCACTCATTTTTAAGGCTGAATATTTCATCATGTGCATACACCACCTTGTTTTTATCCAATCATCCGCCAGTGGGCACTTAGGTTGTTTCCACCTTTTGGCTATTACGAAGAATGTCGGTTAACACCGGTGTACGAATATCTGTTTGAGCCCCTGCTTTCAATGTTTGGGGGTTGCCATCTATTTTAAAGCCAGACCAAGGAGAGAGCTCTTCCCTCCCACCTGAGGCAGCCACATTTTTTTTTTTTAGGAAATGGGGTTGAGAAGCTATAACAACACCCCAGACTGATGGCAGAGACCATGACTGCACACAGGGGAACTTTGCCTCGCTCTGCACTACAGGGTGAAAGAAACACAGAAGATGTCAACATGGCCCCTCTTTCTCTCTCATCTCTCCAGGTGTCTTGTTTCTTTGCTTTAGTCCAGGGGTTTCACTTGCTGAATAAACTGCCTTCAAATGTCCAAGTTATAAACTCAAGAGGCCCAAACCTCCTTTTTAGCAGCAGATGGCGCTCACATCTGTTCTCTTCGTGACTTTATTTTGGAGTTTCTGTAAGTATGGTCGTCAGGCCACTTGCATGGGAGCAACCTGGGTTGTTTATTTAAAATGTGGGCTGCTGGACCCCACCCCCAGAGACTTTGATGCAACATATCTGTGCAGACCTGGGAGTCTGCCTGTTAAATCAGCTCCTCCCCTAATTCTAAGGCAGCTGAGGCAAGAAATACTGGTGGAGTCTGTTTCAAGTCCTCTGGAAATTGTTGGAGCTGTCCGTGGTACTAGTAAAAGCCCTCGCTGTCCCCCCATCTCTCTCCACTGACCTGCCCCCCAAATCCTGTCCCTCCTGCTGGTGTCCCTTAATCTCAGCAAGTGCCCCCCGCCTTCATTCAGTCATCCAGGTGTGAAAATTGCCAAGTCTTACCCTCTCCCTGGCCTCCTAAAGCCAGTCCATCGCCACGTCTTACAGGTTTTATATTGAGATCTCAGTCTCTGGGCCAGGCATGTTGTCCCACGCCTGTAATCCCAGCACTCTGGGAGGCTGAGACAGGAGGATCGCTTGAGGCCAGGAATTCAATACCAGCCTGGCTAACATGGTGAAACCCCGTCTCTGCTAAAAATACAAAAAAAAATAGCTGGGCATGATGGCGTGTACCTGTAATCCCAGCTACTCAGGAGACTGAGGCATGAAACTCATGAACCCAGGAGGCAGAAGTTGCAGTGAGCCGAGATCACACCACTGCACTCCAGCCTAGGCAACAGAGTGAGACTCTGTCTTTTGAGAGAGAGAGAGAAAGAGAGAGAGAGAAAGAGAGAGATATCTCCTCTTTCCTCTCTCATCTATCTCTATCATCACTAACCCAATTCAGGCTTCTGCTGTTAGCCCGCCTCCAGTCTCTGCCACACACCCACCCATTCTCCACACCAGAACTGCCACTGTCCTATTTAGAAACTTTCCCTGGTTTGTCACCATCTACAGATAAAGTCCAAGAATACTGATTGTCCTAAGGGGCCCTTCCTGATTACAATTTTGAAATCACCCCACCCCCCCTCCCTGCTTCCATGCCTTTGTATACACTGTTCCTTCTGTCTGGACTTCCCCTGCCTCCGTGTCTCAGACAAGCTTTTCTCAGTGCCCCAGGCAGAAATAATTACTCTCTGTACTCTTCTATTGACACCCATAATTCTCATCCGCACCTCTCAACCATGGTCTGTCTGTCACACTGTCTAGAAATCATCTCAGCCTCCACCATTAGTCTGGGCAAGAACAAATCTTGTCTGATTCATCTCTGCATCCCCGTCTCTTGGGTCTTGAACACAGTGGCCCTTGCTTTGTTCATAGCAGTATGAACAAAGTAGTATGGCTGTACTAATGAATGAGTCATTTTCTGCCTCGTATGTCAAATCTGTAAGGCCCATCCCCTATAGAAATATTCATTTTGGCTTCACATCCCAAGACCTCTTCTGCCTCAGAGGCTTTGCACAAGTCCTTCCCTCTGCCTTTCTTTAGCTCTCTGGCTACTTCTCCTTCAGCATTCAGTGTAAATGATACATCTGCACAGACACCTCTGATCTCTCCATCTAAGCCAGACTTCTTCAGATGAAATAATGATGCAAGAGAGGAAAACAGGATGTACCATGAGGGAGTATATGATTAAGTGCCAAGGAGGCAAAGAGTAAAAAATAAAATTCATCCAGTAGCTTAAGGAATAGAGAATTTACTGTGAATTAGAAAACCAGACCAGGCTTCCTGTAAGAGAGAGACTATAAGCTAGTCTTCGAGGTGGAGTAGGAATCAGGTCGATAGAAAGTTAGTTGGGTGTTCATTGCAGAGCTACGGATAGGGCTGCTACAATCATGTAAGGGACCTTGTGGGCGTTGAAATCCAATGTGTGCAAAGCCTCACCCATCAAGGCTTTGTCTATGGGATGGGGGTGCTTTTGCCCGTTGGCTTAAAGACTCCCAGGGCTCATGGAGGCCCTGTACTGAGAGGGAAGATGAGGAAAAAGTGAAGCAAGATTTAAGAAGGGGATAATCATCTACTTCTTCAAGGTGGCAGAGAGCAGACTGGACCAGTTGAAACTCAAGCCTCGGAGAAAGGGAGAAAAGAAAGGAAACAAGGCCCATTTGAGCCCGACTCTCAGGTCTTTGAATACCATGGAACCCTTGATTTCTCAGGAAATTCTAAAATGTGTTAGTGGAAAATCCAAACCCACACGAGACTCCTCCAAGAAAAGCTTCAGCATGTCTGCTGAGAAGCAAAAGCAGTTTAGATTTCAGGACTAGGATTACTTCCAAAAAATACACAAATGTGAAAATAAAGTTGCTCTCTCTGGGAGTTCTCTCCTTTTCCTTCCCAGCACTCACCATAGTTTACAGTTGGAGTGTTACTTGTTTCCTTACTTGTTATGGCCTGTCTTGCCAGCCAGGGTCTGGGTGCCAGAAGTAAGGGGTGTATTGTTCTTGTTGACCACAATATTCCAGTGCCTAGTTCAGTGTCTGGCAGAGAGTAGGCATTCTGGAACTGTTTCTTGAATGAATGAATGAATGAAAAATTAGACTGCCCAGATAGTCAACAATTAAAACATGGTTAAGTGAATTACGGCAAATGCTGTCAATGACAGCTTTAGCCGCTTAGGAAAATGTTGATGATGTAACATTAAAGGAACTGGTGCAAGCGTTGCAATTACAATGCTTAAAAACTGCTCTGCATAAACAGGGCCTGGAAGAATACAGAGACAAATGAGAACAGCTGTGGGTGCTGGAGACATGAGATCTTGCTTGAAATTTTCCACTCAGTTTCGGCAAACTGTAGCAACCTTGCGGATCTTCATACCCTTGAACCCACCAATCAATCTCATTTCTAGAGATTGCCCCTAAGAGTCAGAAAGACAAAGCTTTACATAGTA